TGCCCTTTGAGTTCTTGATGCATTGGATTTCAGAGGATAATTACCTTTCAGTTTAAAACAGTGCATAATGAAGTAGCAATTATATCAATAATATAGTTGTCCTTTTGTGTCTGAGAGGGGGCATTGATTCCAGGATTCCCTGAGGATACCAATCAACCAGGGCTCAGCTCACATCTCTTACGTAAAATAGTGTAATATTTACTGATAACCTACTCACATTCGTAATACCTAATGTGAGTGCTATGCAAATAGCTGTTGTACTGTATTGTAATGGGAATAATGGCAAGGGGAAAAGTCTGTACAGACTTAATTTTTTTTCATGAGTATTTTCATTCTGGTTGAATCTGCAGATATGAATACAGAGGATACAGAGGAATGAGAATAATTCCAGAAGACATAAATGCTAACGCACTAATTCCAAGAGGGTTGTTAGATCTGCTTTACAGTTGAGGAAACTTGAGTGATACAGTAAATGTATATTATTACCTATAAGCATAAAGTTGTTTTGGGAGGTCAGAGAAGAGAAGGCTCTGAATGGAATCAAGCCAATTTATCTCTTTTTTTCCCAGGCTGGCCTTGAACCATGATCCTCCTGATCTCAGTTTTCCAAGTGGCTAGAATTACCAGTGTGAGCCACCAGCACCCAGCTTTATTCAATTTTTACTGCGCCTAACTTATAAATTGAGCTTTATCAGATGGATAGATAGCATATATAGAATTCAATACTATCTGGTTTCATGCATCACTGGGGGGGGTTCTTGGAACACATCCCCATGGATAAGGGGAGGGGCTACTGTAGATCTTTAAAGAAGTTGGTCCAAGAGAAAGGAGCTGTCGATATATTCATATTTGGAGGATCCTCGATGAAATAGCTAGGTTCTTGGTTTGTTTTTTTGGGCGGGGGGGGGGGTTGAACTCGGCCTTGCGCTTGTTAGGCAGGTAATAGTTAGGTTCTTGACTGATCATCTTACAATGGAACCATTACCTAACAGCAGCAACTTCCAAGTGGCATTATAATGCTGCTGAATTGACAAATATTTTGCAGGAAAGAAAACCAAGTGAATTGTTTTTATCAGAAATGATGCTGGTAAAATCTCTTGAAGTTTTTCATTTAGAATTGTTGACCCTTGTGTATATCCTGTGGTGTTTTTTCAGCATATGACACTTTGTGTTTGGGGTGGGGGGCTGTACTGGACATTGAACTCTGGGTCTCACTTGCTAGCCTCACCCCCCCCGCGTGCCCCCCCCCCCCGATTTGTTTTCTTTTTTCTTTCTTTTTTTTTTTTTTTACAGTACTGGAGTTTGATCTCAGGGCCTTCACCTTAAGCCACTCCACCAGCCCTTTTTTTGTTGATGTGTTTTTTTTCTTTTTCAACAAAGGGTCTTGTGAACTATTTGCCCAGGCTGGCTTCAAACCACGATCCTCCTGATCTCTGCCTCCTGATTAGCTAGGTGTGAGCCACCGCCACCTGGTTTAAAAAGTTATTTTTTGAAGAGGATCCTACCTGTGACCTCTCTTGTGGTTGACATCACAAATAATTTGTTTGTTGAGATGGGGGCTCAGCTCATTAATTTTTTTTTCCAGCAGTCTTTCTATGTATCCTAGGCTGGCCTGGAACTTGGAACCCTCCTGCTACAGCATCTTCTGTCCTCCTGGGATTATAGGTGTACACCATCACCCTTAGCCCCAGTTGTGACACTTTTTGGTGCTGTGGATCAAACCCAGGGCTTCACACTTGCTAGGCAAGCACTCTACAACTGAGCAGCACCATCAGCCCTGGAAAGCATTACTTTGTGCTATTCTGCAAGAGTTCAGAATACCTTTAGTGGAAGAAGTGTCTAAATTTTTACTAGACATTAAGTGTTAGGAAGGCACTAGCCCTCTTTCCTTCTCCCCTTCTTTCTCCTCTTTCCTCTAGCTTAGAACTTATATAGCCCAAGCTGGCCTAGAACTAATTCACAATCCTCCTGCCTGAGCCTCACTATTGCTGGGATTACAAATTTGCTTCACTGTGTTTGACTTTTTCTTTTTTCTTTCTGGTCCTTCCCCCCCCACCCCGTACTGGGGTTTTTTGAACTCAGGGTCTCACATTTGCTAGGCAGGTGCTCTACTACTGGAACCACTCTGCCAGCCCTTGACTTTTTCTTATTCTTTTGAATCTGTGGTATTTGGCACAACATCTAGAATTTTCTATTAGACAGATGTTTGGTGAAGTCAGCATTGTTCAAAGATGCAGACATGGGAATATCTCAGTACAAACCTAAGTATCTATAGATGATACACTGTATAACTGATTTATAAGGATGATCCTGACAATAGTGCAAGGTTTTTATAATTCATATAGTGTATAGATGGGCCTATAAATTAAACTTATGTATATATGTATATGTATAGTCTGATAGGATTCAGAGAGGGAGTGTCTAATATACTAAGACTCCTTTTCCCAAGGAGAGTAAGAATATCCAGTTTAACCTCAAATTGGAATTGTTTGGAACTACTGCAGAGTAGTAGCTCCTTCTTCCTTGTCTTGGATGATCTGCCATCTTCGGGAATCTTTGTATCTCATCCTGGAACTGTGATCCATCTATTTCTAAATTTTGTTGCCTGCTTTTGCTTTGTTGATATCTTATGGTGCCATCTACTGACCCAAATTGGTAATTGTAAGGCTTTAAGTCTACCAGAAATCAGAGTTGGGTGAAGGACTAAAGAAAGTAGATTTATAGATAATTAGTTTTTTATTTATTCATTTACTGATTCTTTTTTTTTGATACTAGAAACTGAACCTAGGACCTTGTGCATGTAGGCAAATGCTTTACCACTAAGCTATATCCCCAGCTAGGGGACTAGAATTTTAACACTAGAAAAACCCTTAGTTGTTACCTAACCTGATGATTTTTGGTTTTTGGTGGTAGTGGAGTTTGAACTCTGGACCTCACACTTGCTAGGCAGGTGCTCTACCACTTGAGCCGCTCCTCCAGCCCTGTTTTGAGTTGGGTATTTTCAAGATACAGTCTCATGAATTATTTGCCTGGGCTGGCTTCAAACCTTGATCCTCCTGACCTCTGCCCCCCCAAGTAGCTAGGATTATAGGTGTGAGCTCTGGCCCCCAGCATGATGATGTATTTTTAATGCTAATTTGGGGGTGGGGGGCTACTGGGACTTATGCTTCATGCTTGCTAGGCAGGTGCTCTACCACTTCAGCCATGTCCCTGTTCTTTTAAGAAGAATAAATTCAGATTTTATTTGTGATAAGAGCTCTTTCTCCCAACTTATTTTCCAAAATATTGCACTGCTCCAAGTTAAAGAATTTTATGGTCATTTCTAACATTTTTGTGAGTATCCCTCAGTCTGTGAAATAAACTAGAAGAAGCAGTTAACAGGCTGAGGATATATGGCTTGTAGTGAGGCCCTGAGTTCAATCCCCAATACTACCAAGAAAAAATTTGTAAGAAAATTTGTTTATAAGTAAATTTGTGGCAGCATTCATGAAAGATAGCATAAAGAATGAAGGAACTTTTCACAAGTGCTTTAACAGTATAGAATAATTGATTATATCATGTATCTATATACAAAAGGAAATGAAGCTAGATGTTTAACAGAACAAGGTGTTGCTTCTAGTAAAAATTCAAGTCCAACCCTGGCATAGTGGTTCAAGCTTGAAATTCTAGCTACTCGGGAGGTAGAAATTGGTTCAATGCCATCCCCATGAAAAAATTGAGACTCTATCTCAACCAATAAAGCTGAGTATGGTGGTACATGCCTGTGTTTCCAGCTTTTGGGGAAGCATAAATAGGATCAAGGTTCAGCTAATGCAGGCATAAACTTGAGCCCCTATTTGGGAAAAGAAACTAAAGCAAAAAAGGCTGAGGGAGTGACTTAAGTGTTAGAGCATGTGCCTAGCAAGTGCAAGACCGTAAGTTCATACTCCAGTATCATCAAAAAAAGAAAACAGCCTAACACTGTGTGATAAAAAGGAAACTATCCAGAGAATGAGAATGTGTTAGCCAGAGAATTACATGTATGTGAGTTTGATATATGTGTGTTACTGGTTTTTTGGTTTTTTTGGTAGGTCTGGGGTTTGAAGCAGGGCTTCTGGTTTGCAAAGCAGGTGCTCACTCTATTGCTTGAGCCACACCTCCAGTCCACTTTGGTCGGGTTAATTTTGGAGATGGGGGTCTCACAAACTTTGCCTGGGCTGGCCTTGAACCGTGATCCTTCCAATCTCAGCCTCCCACGTAGCTACGATTACAGCCGTGAGCCACTGGCACCGAATTATGTATATTATTTTTTAAATTGATTTACTTTTGATTTAATACATTATTTTAGGTACTATACTTTATGGTAAAGGGATATTAGGAGCTCTTCTAAATGAAAGATGGGTATTAAAGTTTAAAGTAACTATTCAAAGAATAAAGAGATGTTTCTATGAGATTAGTTGTGACTACCTTTCTAGCTGACAATATCAGAAAACTTTCTTGTGTATTAGAGAAGAACAGACATAAGTGTATAAGCAGCATACAATGTTAAAGTCATTTACGATGGCCTTGGTTTTCTTTTTTAACATTTTATTAGCATATATTATTGTATAGGGGGTTTCATTGTGACATTTCCATATGTGCTTACAATATACTTTGATTAAACCCCTCCATCATTCTCCCTCTGTCCCTGGTTTTCTTCTTCTTCTTTTTTTTTTTTTCTTTTCTTTTGGGGCAGGGTAATCAGGGATTGAACTCAGGGCCTCACACTTGCTAGGCAGATGTTCTACCACTTAAGGCACACCACCAGCCTTTTTTTTGGTATTGGTTATTTTTGAAATGGGGTCTCAAGAATTATTTGCCTGGACTGACTTCAAAATGAGATCTGATCTGCATCCTGAGCAGCTAGGATTATAGGCATGAGTCATCGGTGCCTGGTTTGTCCCTGATTTTCTGACCATCCAAATAATCCATCTAACTAGTAAGTGCGCCCTGATGTCTTTTTATTTCCTTTATCATTTTAGCAGCGTCACCCTTTACACCAGAAAGCTGGCGGGCACTATGGGGAAAAAACAAAACAAGAAGAAAGTGGAGGAGGTGCTAGAAGAAGAGGAAGAGGAATACGTGGTGGAGAAAGTTCTTGACCGGCGAGTTGTAAAGGGCAAAGTGGAGTACCTGCTAAAGTGGAAGGGTTTCTCAGAGTAAGTTTCATCAACACAGGTAAATTTAGTCACCAGTTAATCAGGTGTCTAGTGATGTGCTGCTTCCAGCTCTGTGTTGGAGACACTTTGACTCAGTCCTGGCCTCTATGACTTACAGTCTGCTAAGGAAGGACTACATGCACAAAATGCTGTAATGCAAGTCAGTGATTTCTGAGGAGCAGTTTGGTGTGTGCTATAGACAAGTTCATGTTTACAAAGAAAAGTAATCTTTCCTTGAAGGAGGCAAGTTTCTAAAAGTCTTCCCACACACCAGGAAATTTCAGCTTTCCCAAGGTCTGGGTTCTGGACAAAAATCTGGCTACTCATTATTTACTTTTCCAAGGACACTAGCTGTTTTCATGTGTTGTATATGTCCTTGTGTATGTATGCTTACTCTTACGTGACTTGCTGCGCCTTCTGGTTTCAGTGAGGACAATACATGGGAGCCTGAAGAGAACCTGGATTGCCCCGACCTCATTGCTGAGTTTCTCCAGTCACAGAAAACAGCACACGAGACAGATAAGTCAGAAGGTGGCAAGCGCAAAGCCGATTCTGATTCTGAAGATAAGGGAGAGGAAAGCAAACCAAAGAAGAAGAAAGAAGAGGTAAGGCTGCAACTTCCATGAGCCCAAAATTCATACAAGGTTGACTTAAAGGCCAGATAATTTAAGCAGTTTTGTTTGGCCTCTTCCTTAACCTCGGCAGCCATCTTCTCTAGTCCTTCTGAAATCTTCGATAAAAGCTTATGCTTACAAAGCATTTGGGCTACTCTTGTGAAAATCCCATGGGCTATTGTCTGTGGTGCAGAAACAATGCGTGTAACATTTATTGGATACAGACAGAAGAGCAAGTGAATTCACTTCCTGTAAATAGTGTTTTGGTCTTCAAAGAATGGGATGGTGATGGAGTGGCTCAAGTGGTAGAGTGCCTGCCTAGCAAGCGTGAGGCCCTGGGTTCAACAAAAGAATTGGGATGCTGATTTTGACTTAGCAGTATAAAGCAATTTGTCTTTTGAGGACGAAGACACAGTAGTAAACTTTCTTCTTTTTGGTTGCGGGGTAGGACTGGAATTTGAGGGGCTTTGTGGTTGCAGAGCAGGCTCTCTACCACTTGAGCCACACCTTCAGTCCAATTCTGCTCTGGTTATTTTGGAAATTGGGTCTCATAAACTGTTTGCCTTGGCTGGCCTCAAAACTCAATCCTCATGATGTCAGCCTCCCAAGTAGCTAGGATTACAGATATGAGCCACCAGTACCCAGCTAAAAGTTACAAACATTAATTTTACTTGGGATGTGTGTCCCTTCTCACATATGGGAGGACTTCATAACCTTCAGACCTTGGTAGCATAGTCACTCCAAAGGATTCTCAAAGGTCTTGTACTTGAAGCTGACCTATTAGTGAATTACTCACAAAACATTACATTAATCATAGGCACAGGAGTAACGCCATTCTGGATAATAGTTGCATATAGATGAAATTGTACCCATCTGATTTTCACAGTCGGAAAAGCCACGAGGCTTTGCCCGGGGTTTGGAGCCGGAGCGGATTATTGGCGCTACAGACTCCAGTGGAGAGCTCATGTTCCTGATGAAATGGTGAGTCTGCCAGTGGCTCTGTGTGGTTTTTTTCCTTCTTCCCATCTGTTCCATGCCAGAGGAAAAGAGCTGGATCTTCGAAATTCCAGTCGCCCAGGTGTGAAATCTTTAAGATGCCATAGTCCTTCCTTCGATAGTGACCCTCAGCCTGACTGCCAACCTGGACTCATGAGTTACAGGTAGGGGTCCTTAGGATTCTCAGATCTTTGCTCCCTTTTTTTTTTTTTTTTGGTGTTTTGTATTATTTTTAGGAGGTGGGAGAAAATCTAGAGTAGAGAGGGTTTGAGAAGGAGTCACATTTCAGTCCTGTAAGTGAAGAATAAGAACTTGAAATGTGATTGGTCTGCCCTCCCCTTCTGCCACCTCCTCAATAAGGATCAGGCTGGCCCCAGGATCAGAGATTCTGTTAAAGGTTCAGGGTTAGGAGAGGATTTGTAGATGATATGATTCCAGAATCTACCAGCAGGGGTCAGCAAGGCCCCTGTACTGTTACTGAGCATATTGAAGCCTGCTTTTTCCCCATTACAGATATCAGTGGTAGTAATGCAGATGTATGCCACAAGTAGAAGTGTGGAATATAATTTTATGTGCGGTGCTTTTACATGAGTGGTAGCACGGTAGGTTTGTTTACACCAGTATCATTACAAACACTTCAGTAAAGTACTACACTATGATGTCACCAGGTAATAGGAATTTTTTAGCATATGTGGTACACCATTGGCTAAAACATTGTTATGTGGCACTTGACAGTGCTCTTAAGAAACAGCTTAATGAAAACAGTTCTCTTGGGTCTTTTTTTGTGGTACTGGTGTTTGAAATCCTGGCTTCACATTTGCTAGGCAGGTACTCTGTATCTTGAGCCACATCTCCAGCCCTTCTCTTAGAATCTTAAGAACTATAATTAACTCCAAAATTTCTCTTTAATTTCCCTACTCTGCCCAAAAGGAAGCCTTCCCTTTTTCTTGCTAGTTGAAAATGCTTGTGCCAACTTTTTCTCCAAAATGAATCTCAGTCATTACCCTTAAACTACAGTTAAGGTTGGTGGCATAGGTCATTGAGGCTCTGGGTTCAATCTGTAGCACCACAAGGGAAAAAAATAAAATTAAGAGGAATAATTTTAAGCTATTGCCCATGAAGGCAGCATTCTCAAGGCCTTGTGTTTTACTCTAGAGTTTTCTCTGAAACCGTATCTGTACTAAGTCTTCTCCCTTAAAAGGTGATTGGAGAGGCCTAGCTTTAGCACCACTGAAGGCCTGCATCACAACTAACTCTATTTTCTTCTATGCATTTTTTTTCTTTATCAAATCTTGACCCTCTTTTAGCTGATTTATTGCTATCCCATAGGAAAGAAGTTCATTTTTGAGTGTGTGTGTGTGTGTGTGTGTGTGTTTCATGAGATTAGGGTTTGAACTCAGGGCTAAAAAAAGTTAATTTTTAAGGTGCTATCTATTGGGGGGAGACTCGATATTAGGATTTTTTTAGGTACAGCTAGTATGTACTTTCTTTGCATGTGACCTGTGTGAGTTAAGAGTACTGTCTCCATATTGCTTAAGATTGTATTCTTGATGCCAGGCATGGTGATGCTGTAATTCTAGCACTTGAAAGGCTCAGGCAGGCGGATCTCAAGTTCCAAGCAACACCATATCTCTAAGTAAAACAAAAGATTGCATTCTTTTGGTTGACTTATGGGCTACTTTATCCACAAGTTAAGATTGAGTGTTGATTATAAAACCAAGTTCATTTTAAAAAGTGACCTTTTTTTCTTTTTTTTTCCCCCCTCAGTACTGGGGTCTGATCTCTCTTAAGCTTGTGAGGCAGGGATTCTATTACTTGAGCCACACCCCCATTAGGGTCTGTGGTTTTGGCCAGGGGTAGCCTTGGCTGCAATCCTACCACCTATGCCTCCTGAGTAGCAGGCACTTATAACCACCCCTGGCTTTGTCAATTTCTTTGAGGTCTTGCTAATTTTTTGCCTGGGTTGGTCTCAGCCACAGTCCTGAGTAGCTGAGATTAGAAGTGTGTGCCACCCTACTCATAAAAAGCGATGTTTCTGTGGCTGGGGAGTAGCTCAGTGGTGGAGCACTACTTGTCTAGCATACGTAAGACCCTAGGTTCCAGTACCAGCCACACACACACACACGTATTAAAAAGTGATTTTCCTAGAAAGTATACATGCTTGTTCATTTCTGAAAATAGTAACTATCTGCAGTGAAGTGACTCCATTTACCTCAGAAGGTGTTACTCAGGTGTTAAGAGGGCGGCATGCTTCACATTCCCCATATTGGTTCAGTGTGTTTCCCTCCCATTCTCTTGGTTTGGTTGCTCATAAAAACATAACTTTATCAGCTTATCCTTCTCCAGTTTCTGTTGGGGTTCTGCAGATTTGGGGTGGTGCCTTGCTAGAGGAGATCTTATCATTTATATTTATCTGCTGCCTGCCCTCTGCTTCTGCCTCCATCTTGAATATACCCAGGGACCTGAAGATAGAGTTTACTCCTAATTTTCTTAAAATGTGTATGACACCCCCCCCCATAGTACTGGGTTTTGAGCTCAGGTTCTTGTGCTTTCTTCCACTTGAACCATGCCCCAGCCCAAAAGTGTGTGATTTTTGAAATTTCGAGACCATTTCAAAATTTGGGAATACACAGAATTATGTAATAGCCCCTCATCTTCTGCCTCCCCTGTTGATGCACTGTTTCAAAATCCCTGGAGGTTGTGTGCGATGGCACTTAGTAATGTCAGGCAGTGTAATTACAAGTAACCAAAAAAGTGTAAGATCCATTTTGAACACTGTTACAAAGCAGAGATTGCTCCGTGAGGTCTTATTGGCTGGGATTTGGCTTTTGGAAGACAGTGGTAGCTTCTTCTCCCTCAGAGATTCTGGAGAGTTATCCTTCTTTTGGCCTTTCCCAGAGGGTCAATTGAGTCAGGTGACCTAGCTTTTGACAAAGAACCCCAGAGGGGATTTTCATTAAGGGAGCATCTCTGAGGATGTCATTTGACTTTTGAAAACTACTAGTAAATGCTGCTTAATCCACATTTTCACCCTTTCCTACCCTGTTCCTGGAAATTTTTTTTTAAGAGTAGTCCTGGGATTTGAACTCGGGACCTTGTACTTGTTAAGCAGGTACTCTACCACTTGAGCCATGCTTCTAGCCCTTGGAATTTGTATTTTTAAAGCCCTGTTCTCTGAGTGATCCAAGTTAGGAGACCGGCAGCTGTTCTCAAAGTCTCTCTCTGCTTTGTTCTGCAGGAAAAACTCTGATGAGGCTGACCTGGTCCCTGCCAAGGAAGCCAATGTCAAGTGCCCACAGGTTGTCATATCTTTCTATGAGGAAAGGCTGACGTGGCATTCCTACCCCTCAGAGGATGACGACAAAAAAGACGACAAGAATTAACTCTCCTTAGTACCAGCCCCTGTCACCTCTGACTGTGGGTTTCAAGTAGGGAGGAGGGAGTTCTACTTATTTTGACACCATAAAGGTGGCTTGAGAAGATGTCCTTTGAAGAGCCAGTATAGTTTCTGTGCCCTGCAGCAGCTCAAGTGCTTTAAAGCCGTTTCAAGCTGTATAGTTTGCACACCCATCCCAGTGGAGGGGAAAGGGTTAAGTGTTTCAAGGCAACCCATTCTGCACTTTGCTGAGAAAGGCAAAGGGCCTTCTATGAAGGATAAAACTTGCAGAACTGGGTGTGGGAGAGCAAAAGATACTGTTGATCTTCAAAGAGCATCTCCACAACCCACAGCCTTCTTCCCAATAGTGTTAACTGCATTTTTACAGCGTAGCATGTGTGTAGTTTTTGACTATTACTGGTGTATGTTTTGGGTGTGGGAGGGATGGGGCAGGGAGGGAGATGGGTAGGATCATTTTGGTTAAAATTTGGGACCTGATTGGGGAGATGTTAAAACAGTGGAAAGAACAACTAATGATTTGGTTCCATGTCCACAATATTTTACCTTTTCAAAAAAGTCACTGGCACCATGAATGAGGACTGTGAGAGACTGCTTCAAAGCTGTGAATGCCAAGATGTTCCCTGCCTCAGTTTAATATTGTTGCCTAAGGACTAAGCCTACGTTACCAAAGCTGCCATTTGGGAGATGGCAACTGACTGAGGAGGGAGAAGTCTTATTTGAGAGTATATACAGGCAGACCATTCTGTCTTAGAGGTGCTAATTCTTGAAATTAAACAGAAGACCTTTTTCCAACTAATGAAGTTATAAATATGTTAATTTGTCCATCCCAAGCCACTGGCTTGAGGTGTTTTGGGAGGGGCTGAGGGGGATATAGGAGTGAGAATAGGAGAGCTCGTGCTTAGGGTAGAAACTCTTGGATTCTCTGTTTTTTTAACTTTGAACCCTGAGACCATTAGTGGCAGGGTTCAGTCACAGCACAAATTTCATTGAGTCAATTCAAGGGTGGAATTATTTCAGAAGCCCTGGTCTCAGGAGATTATTTTTCATCATGGGGCAGTGGTTCCCTTGAAAACATAAAATCTTTTTAAGAATTAATTTACCCAATACCCAAAATGCTTTTGCATTTTGTTTTTGAGGCAGGGTCTTTATATGTAGCCCAGGCTGGCCTTGAACTCTCAATCCTCCTGCCACAGCCTCCCAAGTGCTGGGATTACAGATGTGTACCACCACATCCAGCTAAAATGCTCTGTCTTGAATCATGAGCTCCATCAGTCAGTTCTTGACATCATCTAGACCTGCATCTAGATCTCCATTGTAAAATCTTTTTAGGCATGTGTTAGATATCTGTGAAAATTTTGTTTAAATGTAAACTTCATACCATACTGTCAGTTTTTGTCTTAATAAAACTATAGATTTATAATCCTGGATTTCTTATCTTTTTTTGAGATAACGTCTTGCTCTGTTGCTTGGGCTAGCCTTAAAATTTTAATCTTCCTATCTTAGTCTCCCCAGTGCTGGGGTTTGAAATAAATATAAATAGGCAAAACACATCTAAAATCGACTTCAGGAACTATTTAAGACAACACTTGTCTAGGCAGTGCAAAAACGTGTTTATTGGATGGCTTCCATGAAACTGCAGCATCATAGACCTCTAGCCCAGGAGGTAAAGAGGAAATAACAGTTATACTATGAGGAAAGGTGAGCTGACCAATACGGTGACATAAGAATCTTTTCTATGTAGCCTAGGCTGTCCTTGAACTCTTGATCCTCCTGCCTCAGCCTCTCAAATGCTAGAATTACAGGCATACACCATCACATTTTGAACACTTATTTTCAGATATATTCCAGAACTCAGTTCCAAGATAGTTAGATTCAGCTCAGTTTGATTTAGCCATGTGGTGTTTGTGTGTGCCTAGCACATCTTTATAGACTTTGGCCTGTGGCATTGGGAATCTGCATTATAGAGCAATTATTTCTCTCACAGTAAAAAGGAAAATGAGGAAATTGCTACTCCAAAATAATTTGCTACTAGAATTCTGAAATCCACATCTGGCTGTGTCTGCAATAGCTCCAGATATTGAACTGTGGAGGTACAAATAATCCAGATCGCAAATGCGCCTTTTCACAACGACCTTCATTTAAAACTTAGAACTGACGGGGTGCAAGCAAATCTAAGCTCAGGGTTTTCTCCTCTCCAGAAGTTGAGATACGAGGAGTCACTTAATGGGTAATTCATGAAAAATGCATCATTGGGTGATTTCATAGGTGGGTAAGCATCATAGAGTATATTTAGACAAACCTAGAGGACAGAGTCTGCTACACAGGTAGGTACAGTATATACTGTTGGACGTGTGATCCATCATTGACAAATGCAGTTGTTATGTGAGGCATGATTACACAAATACCAGCATTTAGCTTAGTAAATCTCGACTTTTGGCTTAGGCAACAGTTGTCAGGTTGAGGCATTCTAGTATTTTGGTGGTGATTAAGTTTGTTTGAAGGAGTTTAAGATGCTAAGACAACCAACCATCAGTCTTTGGATATGCACATTACCTTGGTTTGGCTATGCACAGAACAGGTTTTCTCCAGGTTAACTGCTTCCGTATCCCCTGTCCAGCATGTTAAGTTTAAAGTTGCTCATCTCTCTTAACATGCATAACTTAAGCCTTGGCTTTGTAAAGTTCCTTGTTGGATGTGAAAGCCAAGGAGATAACATCCTTTTGGGATAAAAAGCATAGCTGGCCATACTTGGCGGGGAGGGGGCAAGCAGAGGGGTCTACTTGCTTAGGTAGGCAAGGCTGAACATTGAGTTTAGAGTATGTAATGTCAGTTCTGCTTCTAGTTTTTAACAGCAGGGGGTGGGGGGGTCTTGCATTCTGATCTGATTTATACGATGGCTTATATGGTACCAAAGCCACTCCTTTACCCCAAATGGGTTTTTAAATCTTCAGTTGACTTTGACCAAGCCTGCCTTGTCTCTTGTTTGTATAGCCTGAGGTCAAGGAGGACAACTCTTCAGGCCTGGCTCTGGGACAATAATAATAGCCCATTGTTGCAATTACTGCTTTAGCCCCTAGTGTAGGACAAACATGTTTAAAACAAAAGACAGAGTGCCAACTCCTTTCCTTAGTTGAAATAGTATCTGGAATTAGTAAAAAGTACTCCATTCTGCAGCTTAAATTAGGCTGGAAAAGAACTAGTTGAGAAACTTTGGTGGTAGTTTGTATACTCAAAAAGCAAAATACAGGCTAGGACGTGGTGGTATGTGCCTATAGTCCTACCAGGCTGAGGCAGAAAGATCACCGGAGCTCGTTACTTCAAGACCAGCCTGGGCAACATAGCAAGACTCAAAAAAAGGCAAATGAAAGCTTTCATCCAGGTGACTTTGAAATCACTCTTCAGCAAGGTTCCATGTTCTTACTCCTTTTGAGACAATTTTGTGCACTAGGCTCTCCCATTTCAGGCAAACAACTTTCAAACAAACTCAGGACAGAACAAGGACTACAACTCAACACTGCTAAGTTTCACATGTATTCCCAAGGTCCCCAAATGCTCATTCTCCACTGCAAAATTCAAAACTAGAGGCAAGAATGATGACTGACTTCTGTATGAGAAGAAAATAAAGGTAAAATGGTGGGGGTTCTTGGTACACCTACAAAATGACAAGTCAAAGGTTTGTGGAGGTCTTTTCCCTTACCAGATGGATCAGCAACAGGAAAACAAGACTTAACCATATGTGGTTCTACTACAGAATTTACACATAGCCAAGCAAATGAGTTCTAGAGAGGCAGACACCAGCCTAGTACCTGTTTGTGTATGGATAGCATCAACATGGAAACAGACCAGGTAGTACCCTAAACTATCATCTTATTTATTTGGAGCTTCCGAAGTTGCCCATGATCAGTGCCCACAAAATAAGACAGGAGTCTTGAGGTTAGCAGGGACATCTTTTCTACAGGGCACTTATTCCAGCTATTTGCCAGACAAGCCTTAATCACAAAGGTGTGGTTTAAGTGGAAGTTGCAAAAGGAATGAGGTCAGCTGGAGGAAGGAATGGCTCCAAAAAATCCAGAGGAATTGACTGGTTATCTAGTAAGGGTGACAGTCAGCCATGAAGGCAGGCCTTGATGACACAAGCATGTATCCCTCTCAGAGTTGTTATGTCTGTTTTTCTGTTTAGGACAGGGTCTCAGGTAGGTAGCCCAGGCTGCCCTCAAACTTGCCATCTTCTTGCCTCAGCCTTCCTAGTGCTGGAATTATGGGAGGAGGGGGATGGGAGAGTATCACCACACTGAGCTAGTTGTTTCCATTGTTAACTCAAATAGCACTCCATTAATGAGATCCATGCAAGGCAATTTGATACAGTGGGTTGGTCTGTTTTCCATCACCTCACAAGATGTATGGAAAAAAATAATTTTAAATGAAGTTTAGTGTGGGCACCAGTGGCTCATGCCTGTAGTCTTGGCTACTCAGGAGTCAGAAATCAGGATTGCAGTTCAAAGTCAGCCAGGGCAAAAAGTTTTCAAAACCCTATCTCAAAAATACCCAGCACAAAAAAGCTAGTGGAATGGCTCAAGTGGTAGAACACCTGCCTTAACAACCGTGAGCCCTTGAGTTCAAACCCCAGTACCACCAGAATAAATAAATGAAGTGTAGGGACTGCTTAAGATAAAGCAAGCTTTCCCACACCCACCCAAGCAGATCATCCTGAAGAATGGGTGGTTAAAAGTAAGGCCTGTTCATCTCCCTGCCACAGGCCTAACCTGTCTTCCTATCTTCCTGCCAGAAGCTTGGAGGCTACAACACCCACTATACCTGTCAACAGCAAAAAGAGGTCAGGCCCACAGCAGTGATCACCTTAGCCCCAACGCCCCAGCTAGTGAACATGATCTGAACAAAAACTGTATCGCTTGGGGACAGAGCAGTAATAAAAATACACTCACTCACTCAGGGCTGGCGGAGTGGCTCAATGTCTGCCTAGCAAGTGTGAGGCCCTGAGTTCAAACCCCACCAGTACTGCCAAAAAAAAGTACTTGCTCAGGCAAGGGACACATTAGGCACACCTCCAATCTATTTTGTTCTGATTATTTTTGGAGTTTCTATTTGCCTGGGCTGGCCTCAAAATGTGACCTTCCTGATCTCAGTGCCCCAAGTAGCTACAATTATAGACAGGATCAACATTATTCTTAAGAGTTCTAGTCCACCCCTCCAGACATCTCTCTAGTAAGTAGCATCATTAAAGCACTGAGACGAGCCAGGTTACATGGTACCTGGGAGTTTAAGAACACAAGTTCTACTGAACTTTGTCCAGTAATCTCAGAAGACCACCAGGTGGGCCTTTACTCCTGCGACATTAGTAAGCGCCCACTGACATGGGCCTTCTAGACTTCTAGCCCCCACCAAGTGAGGTCTTAAAAGCTTTACAGCTCTTCCCAGGCTGGGAACTAGAACAGGGTTTTTGAGGGAGAAGATTCCATTCACCTAGGCTGAGATGGTTTTCCAACATGTCTTATAGCTTGGGGCCTGGTTTCATGCTGATACTGTGGCCCTATAGCAGTGCTTGTCATGTTAGTAGGTCCCACTGACGTCTCAGGTTTTCATAATCACGGCTACATCCCAGTACTCTGCACCTCTAGCAGGTGGGGGCTACTAGAGAAATTATAGTAGCACTGCAAACCTAAAAAATGCAGTTTGTAGCAGGTGAACCGGTAAGGGCATGGGTAAAAACACCTATCCTAGCTCTAAAAAGGAAAGCCAAAAGAATTCTTCCTGAGAGGGTTCAGAGGTACACAACACCTGCCTGAAGGTTCAATGCAGCAATTTAAGACTTTTGTCTTTCTAAATTCCTCATTGTCAGCCTCCCCAGCTCTCCACCCACCTTTCCACTGGAACTCTGCATTAGCCACACAATGGCCAATCCTCCCCCTATGGGGCCTGTTTCTTCTACTCTCAATTTGAATTCAAAGTAGGGAAAAATTGCACTTGAGATGAATCATCCATTTTATTTTATTTGTCATGTGCTCACAGCATCTTTCTCTCCTCTCCCTGGCAGGTCACAGAGATAAATTAAAAATAAAATCTACAAGGAAAATAATTTATAAAAAGCACTCCCAGGCTCATGCCTTCCATCCCTACTGCTCAGTTTGGAACCCCCTCCCCCTCCATAGGGAGGAGAATCAGTGCTTTCCCCCAACTCACTCCTGCTAGTCTGGAGCAGACAGTACTCCAGAGCTGGGCAGTTAATGGGGCGGCAGTGGCAAAGTTCCAAATAAAGACAATGTGGTCTTGGAACCATCTGGCCACCTTGGCGCTCCCCCTGGTTGCCTGCCCCAGGTTCAGCTGGGGCTGTGGAGATGCTGCCTGTGACTGAGAGCCTGGGGAGGGTGCTCTCAGCCCATCACATGCACTTCTCATTCTAGAAAGAAACCCAAAAAAGAAAACAGACAAGACCTCGGGACAGAGGAGAAAAATCCCAAGTGTTCACACAGTTACACGGAGTCTTTATGGCAAAGAGAACATTTAGCAGCTTTGAATATTGGGGCATCTCCTTTTTACTCAACACAAGCATTCTAGACCCTATAAGTGAAACAGGGCAAGCCCTATTTTAAAAAAAAAAAAAAAATCAAAGCGCAAGAAATTCTAAGAGGCCTAGTTTTTTGTTGGTGCCGGGTTTGGTAGGGTTTTCTTGTTTGTTTTCCCCAGTAACAAGCCCAGTTGGTAGGTAGAGGCTTGAGGGAAGACTCCTCAGTGTTGTGCTAAATACTGCCTGGAGGTGGCTGCACTGGATTCTCCCTCCATTACGTCTCTCTCCCTTGGTTTAGCCCCAGAAGAGGAAGCTGCAAGCCCAGTCCTGAGCACTGCCAGCACAGCAACCCACACTGAGAGCTACAGGCAGCTAGTGAAGGTGAGGACCACAAGCACAGGATGGGACTGAGAGGAGTACAGAATTTCCATGCAGGCTCTGATACAGTGGGAACCTCAGGGGTGGCTGGAGCCCAGATGGAGGTGTCAGTGGCAGAGCAGTGAGTGACATGCTTGGTATTGGGGCTGCTGCAACATGGACTCATCACCCTTTTCTGCTCCTGTGCCCTTTGGCCCAAAACCAACAAGCCAGTGTTGGATGCCCACAACTCCCATCCAACTAAAACATTACAGATGACATCCAAGAGCTCCCCTTTAGGGATGCCAAAGTGCATGGAACAAAAAGAATCAATAAAGCCCCACCCCAGTCCCCAACCTACCTGTGGTACCCCACTGGAATAAAATGGGGTTTATCAATCACACCAGAAACCTAGGCCTACTGGAGTCACTCAGATCTGCTACCTGGAAACCTGGCCAAAGCCCATCTTAACCTTCCCTTTGCTTTTCTCAGTGCTTTGACTTTTTTTTTTTTTTTTTTTGGGTTTCCTTCCTTCCAGAAATGAGACTTTCTACCACTTTTTCTCCCTTCCATACCTTTTGTTTGGCCTTTACTCCCTGCAGCTTTCACCTCCAGCAATGCCAGTACTACCCTTCCCCCTCACAAGAAAGGGGTAGAGTGGGGACCCTGGCCACCCAAATGGTCTGGCCACTTCCACCCACGTCAGTGGGGGAAGTTGAGCCACACTGCGCCCGCGCCCGCCTCTTCCTATGCACTGACCCGCAGTCATCCCATCTGAGACGATATATTGGATAAGAAGGCATTGAAGTCCCCACTGTAGGTCCAGGTCCAGGTCCAGGCCCAGCCCTTCTCCAGTTTCGGTCTTAGTGAGCGTCCACCCCTGCCTCCCCAGGCTCACTTCCTCCGGTCCTTTGGCTTCCTCTCCTGCCGCCGGGCCTGCTGGTCAGCCATGGTGCGAGGAATGAGGAGGACACTACCATCCCCAGCATACTGGAGTGCATACTGACTGGGCGAGTAGGGCCTCCCATTCTCATCCCGTAGCCGCCCAAACACCTCTTGGTACAGGCTCTGGACCTTCTGTTTCATCTGCCGCAGTGACCGCAGGAACTCCACCTTTTCTCGCAGCAGTCGGGCCTTATCGCGTTGCAGATCCTCTACATCACGCTCCAGGTTCAGGATGGTGTCCAGCTTGCGCTTGCGGCAGTTCTGTGCTGCCATCTTGTTCTTGCCCCGGCGCCGAATGTCACGGATAAGGCTCAGCTGGGCCTCACTCAGCTGGTATTTGGAAAGCAGCTCATTGAATTCCTCTACAGGCAGGTTGATGATTTTGTCATTGGTGAACGGAATCTTCATGGCACGGGCTCGATGCTCATCCCGACTCATCTGCTTGTCCAGGAAGTCGGCCTGCTTCTCCTTGCTACCTTTCTTGAGGGTTGTGGGCGGTGGCAGGTCAGCAGAGTCAAGGGCACTGGGTGCCATGTTGTATGTGTGGTTGTGGCCCACATGCTCCAAGTAGGGCAGGCAGGAGAGCTGAGACGGATCCTGGTAGCTCATGCGACAGAACTTGGAGTACTCAGGCTGGTAACCCACTGCACCCTCAGCCTCTTCCAAATCCAGGGTCTCAGAGTCAGAACTATAGCCAACAGCACCTTCCTCAGAAAAGGAGGAAGAGGAAGAGGCAGAGGAAGAAGCGGAAGAAGAGGAAGAGGAGGAAGAGGAAGAAGAGCTGCCTTCAGAGCTGCTCAGGGAAGAAGGGCTATGGCTGGAGTCCAGGGAGAGGCCAGAGTCAGAGTCAAACTCTTCCTCAAGCTGGGAGGCCTGCACAGGGTTGAAGCCCTCCTCGATAGCCAGGTCCATCAGGCTGATCTCATCCAGCATGGCTTCATCTAATAGGCCCCCCAGAGGGTCAGGCAGCTCTGGGCCTGCTGTGTCATTGGCTGTGCCATTGAGTTGGGGTGGGAAAAAAAGCCCTGCCAGGTTGGTGGAGCCAAAGGTGGAGTTGAGGCTGGTGGAATTGCTGGGGACCAGCGGAAGCAGAGTGGAGCTGCCAGCCACAGGCAGGCTCTCTACCTCAGGGCTGAATAGTGAAAAGTCCTGGCTGCAGCCCCCCAGGGATGCCTGATGCAGGCTGACATTTTGATTGATGGGAGTGTTGGGAGCAAGGCTGTAGTTGGTGCTCAGGGGGTCTCCAGGAGGGGCATTGTACAGAACTTCACTTGTTGATGTGTTCACTTCCATGGCCTGGGAAGAAGAAGAGCACCAGCATTCATGAGCAGCAAACTCCTCCCTCAGTTCACACCCTGCAGGCCCCCAACCAAAGCACAGCTGCCTGGGCACAAGGGCAAGAGACTGGACAACAAAGCCCAGTGTCAGTTCCCAGTCCCATTTGGACCCAGTTAGGGCCAACAGAGGTGTTTCCTTCCTATGGGCTTCAACCCAGTGCAGGACGAACCAGCTCCTGATCATGTGTGGCCAGACTCCCCCATCTTGGGGTGAAAGGGAATCAGCAGTGAAAACCCCCACACTTGAGTCAGAGAACCTAGCTGCACAGCTTTCTGTATGACCACAGGACTATCACTTGTTATCTATGACCTTTAATTTCCTCACATTTAAAATAGCAAAGGGAGCTGAAGGTAGCTCAGTGATAAGAGTGCTTGTCTAACTAGCACCCTGGGTTCAATTCCCAGCATGGCAAAATAAAACAAAGGGCCAACTAGATGCTTGGGAGGGCAAAGGAAAATGAGGATGACTGTAAACATTATGTGAGTGTCACCCAAGTGATTCCATGAAGGAAAGGCAGGCGCACCTACAAAGCACATCCTACTTTGGAAGGTTCAGATTGGGGTTTTAACCCAACCTTACCCCAACTCCACCTTCTCCACACCCAAGAAAAACACCTGGATGGATTACCTCTCAGTGTCCCCTACTTTCCTATGGACAGCTAGAGGAACCATTACCTTCCCTACCACCCCCTGCCCAGAGGTGCAAGTGACTACACAGTGGAACACACTGAACAAAACGCCACAAGCTGTGCTGTTCTGACGACCTTACCTGCATTTCCATGATGGACATGAGATCTTGCCACTGCTGTTCCAAATCAAATGGCGACTCTGTCCCCGTCAAGAGAGGAGACAAGAGACTGTTTTGAAGAGCTGGAGACTCACTTTCACTAGGCACTGCTTCTGTGATGCTGGCAACTTCTGCTGGGAACTAGGGCAGAATAAAAGGCTTCAATAGCGGGAGGAAGACTACCTTCTGCTTTCCTCCAAATGACTACCACCTGGCTTCCTGTTTCTTTCTTCCTTTGAATTCACCCCCAGCAGTCAGGTAAAGGCCAGAACAGAGAGCTACCCTGGGGCCAGCCATCGAGAGATAGGCTGTCCTGCTCACTTAGTGGGCTCTCCCTGGTCCTGCTCACCTCAGCATTCTCCCCAAAGGGGCAGGTGGCTTCCAGCAGCCTAAGGCACTCTTCCAAGGACAGGGCTGTCTGGTCCTCCCCACCAGGCACCTGTGGCAACAGCAACTGTAAGTCTAGCTGGCCTGGGCCCTAGCTGCTTAGGACTGACACCTCTTCCCCAACACCACCGCAGGCCTGCAGTCGCCCTCCCATTCCAGCCAATGTTGGGTCTCAAGTCCCAGACTCACAGGGAAGAGGAGTCTCCCAGAAGAGAGAGTAGAAGAGTCCTAAGACAAGCAGGAAGATGCTAGACACTTTGTCTTCTCTGCCCTGTCTATTGCCAAGGCCTGACACTTTTGAGTCTGCTGCTCATGTCCTCCCCCTTTTGCAGCCCAGTCACTTTGACTATAAACCCCAAGCCAAAAGACCTTCAGGTCCATCCCGTGGACACAACCATCCTTTAGGGAAAGTTTATGGGAGACCTCCAGCTTGGTAAGTCTGAGGGTGTAGGGAGCAGAGAAGCAAGTGACAGAGGCAGCATTTACCTGTGCAGGGAAGCTCTCCCCAGTCTCTCCGTCCACTAGTAGGTTTCGGGCCAGAGCTTCCGCACCCTCTCCTGCCCAGGTGTCCTCCTGCTCTCCTCCATCTCGCAGATTCTTATCCACATCCTGCTCTTTCTGACGATGACTATAGTCAAAAACCTCACGTCCAGCCCCCAGATCAATATCCTGCCGCCAAAGGATGTCAATCAGATCTATGTCCTGAAAGACAGACCATGACAGCTTTAGCTCTCAAGTCCCCAGATGCCCCTACCCATCCTGCTCCTCAGAGGTCCCTACTAGTGCCACTTTCTAGTCCTAGGTGGGGCCCTTCCCAGTCCTGTGCCTGCCACTCTTTACCCTCCAATTCCTCTGCACCAGTGATGCTTCATTTATCCATTTTCAAGCACTACCCCCTTTCTCCCCCAAAAAAGAGCCATTAGCAAAAAAGCCACTAGCATGACTGTAGGTTTAGACTGTGGACCGGAGACACACCCCAGCGGAGAGCAGAACTACCTCACCCCTACATAAGAAAGGAAAAGAAAGCAAGACACATCTCTCATTTCTGAATGAGAACCCCTGAAAACGTATTTTATAGGAGGATGGCATGGGCAAGCAAGGGCAAACTACCTAGGCGAAATTGGAAATTGCTTAGTGGCGGCCAGGCTTGCATCAGCCTGTGGTACCACTGCATTTGCATAAAGGGGTGGGGTGGCCTGGAGAGGAAAATCCCTGCATTTCCAACCACCTGATGCAACCAATGACAACTGACAGGCTACCTTCAGCCATTCCCCCTTCACAAGCTGACAGCAGGAGTAGGCTTGAACACCTACAACTCTTAAAGCCAAGCTCACCTCAAGATCCATCTCTCCCAGAATCCTATCTCAGCTGATCCTAGTAAGCTGCCTTGATCCCAAGGGAGCCTTAGGCAGTCAGATAATCCTCAGTGAGCACCCCACCCCTGCTTAGGCCAGCCTCACCATGTCCCCTCACACCAGTGCTGTCTCCCTCCCTCCCTCACCACACCCCAGGGCTCACTGGCTAACCCACTCAAGGACATAACTCCCATCACTGCTCAACTCTGCCACCTTGGGCACCAATACAGTGAATAGTTCCTGCATCAACTGATCTCCCACCCGCTGCCTAAAACCCCAGCAGAGCCATTTGGGCTTCCTATACATGCTGTTCCCTTTGGCAGCGTCCTCCCAGTAAGACTGAAGGGCTCTAAAGTGCGGCCTTCCCTTGAGAGATTAAAAAGCAGTCATACACATACTTTCCAGAGAGCAGTGCCCTAAGCGCAGTCCCACCTCCCTAGTAGGTACTGAATCCTTTCCCACCATAACCCTTCCAATTCCATCCTGAGACCCGAAGACCTCCCACATGTATCTCTCCCTTCAGTCTCCCACCATACACCAACCTGAGCAGAAGCCCTGGACCCAGGAGCAGAGGGGGGCTGGGCCACCCGGTGACCAGCCAGCAATGAGTTAAGGGGCTGGCTGTCTTTGGCATGGCCCCCACCACCGTGAGAGCTGCGGTCCAGGCGGGTCATGGTCTGCGACAGGAGCCCCAGGACAGCCGGTGCCGGGAAGCCGGACAGGGGGCTGCAAGGAGCTCTTGACTTGCAGGGAGCACACCAGGCTGGAAGGGTGGCCCCTTGCTAGCTCCGAGGGGCCCGAGGAGGGTGCCCCGCCCGTGTTGCTGCCTGGGCGGCCCAGCCCAGCCCCCTTCCTCCATCCTGGAGCAGCCCCCTCCCACCTCACAACCCCAGTTCCACTCAGGCGCCCGGCAGCCCCCACCCTGAGCTCACCGCAGAGGCTGCAGTGAGACGGGACTCCCACCCCATGCTCCGTGCTCACGCTGCAGAGGAAAACGAGCTTCCTCCAGAACCTATCCTCCCGCTCCTCCCTCTCCCCCTCCCCACGCCCCCCAAACTTGTTACCTAGGCTGCAGCAAGGAGCCAATACCCTCCCCCTCCCTCCCCGCAGGTCACTGCTGAGGCTGCAGAGAGCCAATCCCCTCCCCCAGGCCAGCAGCTGGGCTGCGGAAAGAGCCAATCCCCTCCCACTGTCGTTACCTAGGCTGCGCCGGGAGCCAATCTCCTCCCCCAAGTCTCCGCTGGAGATGCGGAAGGAGCCAATCCCCTCCCACCGCCTGTTACCTAGCTGCAGACGAGAACCAATCTCTGCACCAGGGCAGCTGGAGAAGCTGCCGCAAGGAACCAGCCCATCCCTGGGCCGCCTCCGTCTCCTTGAGGAGATGCACCCAGGGGCGGGCAGCCCCACCCAGCCCAGTAAGTCAGCTGGGGTGGCGCAGTGAGTGCGCCCTGGGGGAAGGGGTGCCACTCCGCCCCCTCTGGTCGCATCTTCCTCCTCCAGATCACTAGAAACCGGGTAGACACTCCTGCAGCTTCGCCGGGAATCTAAATTCTTTGCTGGGAAGTGGAAGGAGTTTTCTCATTCCTTAGGCAGGCTGTGGCCAGTCCCCAAGGCTAGGGATCACAAGCCAGGTTGGGCAGGAACCCAAGCCAAAAAAGAAAAAAAAAAAATCCAGGAGCTTTGTCACCCCCAAAACAGGCCAGACTAGAGAAAAAGGGAAAGCCATTTTGCACACGTGCAGCAATGTTACAGTGCTGGCCAGACCTAGACCCTAGGAAGAGTAGGAGAGACAGAATTCAAGGCTAGCACAGGTGCTGGGTAACATCCTGGCCACAAATACAACTCCCACTCCTCCTTTTACCCCAGCTTTTTAAAAAAAGCATTCTCTGCCTGACCCCTGGCGGCATCTCTCCTAGCAGGAAAAAAAGGATCACACTTCATACTCCCTAGATTAGTTTCTCAGAGGGAAATTTAGCTCTTTCCTCACTGCTGCTGCCCTGGAGCCTAAGGTCAGGTCAGAGAGACAGTGTGTTCTCCCTGGTCACAGCCTGCTCCTAGCCTGGATAGAGCTGTAAACAGGCCACCCCCGGCTCTGGGCAGAGTGCCAAACTTGAGGGGAATCCTATCCCTGACAAGGGCCTAGCTATAGCTGCCCACTGAAAGGGCCTGGCAAGGGGGGAGTGCTACCACCCCAGGGATAATGCCAGCTCCAGCAGTGCCTGTCACATGCTCGGGACCTGGGTATTTTTATCCCTGAGTTGCTGAGGAAATGTTGTTCTAGACACATCATAATCTTCCCTTCCCCCCTCCCCAGCCTGGTCCCCTCATGCTGACCCACTCCACCCCCCAAGAGGAGTGAAGGCCTGGGTCAGTCAGGGAAAGTACGACCTACCAGAAGGTAACAGAAAGCCAAGAAATAGAGGAAAGCGGAGTCAAAGTCCCATCCCGTTCTACCCCAACCAGCCTAGACGTATCCAGAACATCCCATATCCCATCCCTGGAGAGCTCCCTACAGAGGTAAGAATGGAGCTAACCCTACAGGGTTCCCAGGAGAGGTTCTGTTCCAGGCTTCTTGGGGCAGGAGCAGGGATCAGAGACCAGGAGCATGGTTCTTTAGGACACAGGGTCAAGCCTGGAGCCCGCTTGAAGGACAGGGAAAGGGGAAGCAGAAGACAGATGAGAATTCAAGTGGGACTGCAAGAATCTAAAACAAGAGGCCCTGAAAGCAAGAAATATCCCTGACCCCATGATCAGATAATCCTAGCCTCTCTCACAACACATCCGAAAGCAGCAAGCTGAGCAGAGAGAGGGTTTCCCAAACTCAATGTTACTGACAATTGTGGGTCAAATAAACCATGGTTTGGGGGTTGACCTGTGCTGTTCAGCAGCATCCTTGGCCTCACTCTTTAGATGCCAGTCCCCTCACCAGGTGTGACAACCGAAACACTGCAGATAATGCCACCTGTCCCTGGGTGGGCAAAAATCACCCCCAGGTGAAACCATGGGCTTACAACAAGACACACTCTTTACCAGTCACTAACACCCAGAGAATTGAAGTCAAGAATAGGCTCCAATGCAGGGAGACAAAACATGGTCTGACCAGGTGGGCAGAGAGAGTCAGTATCTCTACAACTTTACAGTAGCCAGCCTAGAGCCAGCCACACGGCCTCCTCCTTCTCTAATAGCCAGGGGAATGCAATGGGCCTATTTCTCAAGCTCCTTTTTAAGGCTAGGTAACAATCAAAAGCAGTTTTATCACACAGGTGACATAGGGATAGCAGTAGCCATTTGCATCATTAAAAGCAAGGAACTATATCCTTTTTTGCCCAGAGAAGTGACAGGAGTTCGAGATCACCTCTGACAGCTTACAGCAGGCTGACTACTTTGTCTGAACAGTTTCTCCTCTAGCTTCCAGTCTTTCTGCCTTACTCCCTGCAGTGGGCTTTAGCAAAGAATGGGAGCCTTGGCCTCTCCTAGCCAAGAATAACTATTTGAGTCTACCCTTTGGCTCAGGCCCAGGAGAGCTGAATTATCTAGGCTTTACAACAGGCCTGACCGCAAAGAGAACTTTAGGGTACAGTATGAGTGTTTTGATGTGGGGGGAGGTACAAAGTAAGAGACTACACAGTATTTGTGTCTTAGCAACAGATATACACTGCATCAAAGCCCATCACAACATGGTCCTCCCCCACCTCAGGCCTCCAGCAGTCATACTGAAATCCAAGCAGTAAACACCCTGGCATGTTCTAGGAACCTCCCACTGTCCCGACAGATTTAAAGGTGGTTCAGTAAAGGGAAATGTTCCCAGCCCGCAATCCTAAAGTCAGACAATTCAGCCCATTCCTGTCTAAGCACAGGTGCCTAAGACAGCCCAACCTCCAGAACCTATCCAGCTCATCATAGGGCTCAAAGCTGAATCCACAGTACTTCAGAACCAGCCCATTCCTGCACCCCTCCACACCCCACCCACCCACCACCACAGGGCCACTAACCTCTTTGGTTAAGTCTCCACTGACTGGAGGGGCTACAGCCCCCAAATCCTCCAAATCTTCTCCGAATCCCTGCTCCGTTTCACTTTCTCGCACCCCGTTGTCTGGGCCTGTCACATCTTGGAGGCCACTGGAACTCTCAAGGGCGAGGCCTGAGTTGGGCTGGCTGCCAGAGACAGACCCCTCCGGGTCCCGGTGAACCAGCCAGGCATTTACCTCGGTGGTTGGCACCTGGAACCTGTCCAGGGCCCTCACCTGACTGAGGAGCCGACGGGCAGTGAAGTAATTGTCCAGGTCTATGCTCTTGGGGTGGATACCATAGCCATCCAAGGTATTCCTCAGGTTGTGGAATTGTGTCTGAGTATAGGCAGAGCTGGGCCCCAGGATGATCTCCCGGAGCGGGGGGAGCTGTGAGGTCAGGTAAGTATCCACGTCCACCCGCACCCCAATCAGACTCAGCAGAATGGTGAACTGGAGAAGTCCTTCCGTTAAGTATTTCTTCAGAGAAAGCATTGCTGAAGGACCAGAATGTTTATGCTTTTTGGTTTTTAAATCTTCCAAAAGACAAATCAAGGCCACTGCACTGCTGCTCCAGCCAGCAGGTTACCCTCCTCGGTGCCAGACCCTTTACCCCACCCTGGCAGAACACAGGGGTTGACCTCCCTGATGGCCCCAGAGGAAAGACCGCCCCGTGGAGCCAAGGCCACACTCCAGACCACATTCACTTTTCCCTTCTTGACACCTCACCTCTGAAAGTACAACTATTCCTAACCCAGTCCAGGCACTCAGGGCCCACGTGACTTACTGTCTCCACAGTCCACATACGGTCACTTCCTCACTCACATTAGTTGTCCTCTCTGTAGATTCCACTGCAGGCTGTTCTCAGGAACAGCTGACAGATTTTTTTTTTTTTTTTTTTCCTTCTCTCTCCTAAGGTTTATTTTCTTTGGCTGAAGCTCCAGGCCTTTCGTCTTGGGTCAGAGTGTCCCACCTCCTCCACACTTACCAGGGGGGTTTCCAGAGAAACCTGAAATGGAAATCACAAAAGCAGCAAGATAAGATTCCAAGATTTTCACATCATGATTAGGGTAGGAAAACCTTCAGGTACAAGGTAGGAAACGCATTAAAGGCCACTTGTACAGGAAGAAAAAACAAATCACTTACATTATCAGAAATAAAAAACAAAATAAAACAACCTATTATGAAGAGATCAACAACTATAAAAGGAAGGTATTGATCATAAATAATCTCAGACAATGCCAGGACATCCAAAGTATCTTATACTTTGTCTGATTTACCAACCACCTCCCCCACAACCCTGGGACAGGCATGTTATGCTACCCAGCTTCTATTTTTAGCATGAGAAGACCATTTCCTATCTTAAAGGAAAGTTGGTTTCCCATGTCTCAGGAGAAAACTGCCCACAAATCATTGGCCCTTCCAGTTCTAAAGGGGAGGGATTATTAATGGGTGAGTGGGAAAAAACAGGAGAGCAATGTTTGGGCCACCACTTCACACAAAAGAAAAATGTCTTTGTTTTCTCAACTTTGAAATCTAATTTCCCTTTCCTATCATTCTCACAATTAAAAGAAAAGAGGGAGGGCTCTGGACATGGCTCAACTGGTAGAGCACCTGCCTAGCAAGCACAAGACCTGAGTTCAAACCCCAGTACTGCCACAAAAAAAAAAAAAAAACCAAAAGAGAGAGAGAGAGAGAGAGGAGATGGTAGGGACTTTCACAGTACTGTTCCATCCAGAATCTGCATAAGGCAAGTTTGATCTTTATTCATGACCTTCTGAGCCAAAGCAAAAGGATATGGCCAAGTTCCCAACCCAGATTGCCAAGTGGGGAAGAGGGTAAATTTGCCTGTTCCTGCTTTCTACTTCTGAGCTTCCTAATCTCATAAACCAAGACAAACCCCTCTTCTCTGTGATCACCTTCCAACTTCATTCTAAAGGGAACAGGGAACCTACATCCAACTCTTTCTCTTTCTTTCTCTCTCCCCCCCCCCACACACCACGCCCGCGCACCCCATTTCGTTAGAGTAAACACAACTGCAACCTGAATTCTTTCTTATACCCTCCTGTTTTCACGCAATTTATTACGAAAACCGCCCCAAAGCCAATTAAGTTCGAGAAACCGGACAAAGTTCCTTAAAGACCGACTTAGGGCCAGAGAGCCCTGGCCTAAGTCCAGTCCACCCTACCCCGAATACCCGAGTCCGGCTGGGTCCAAGTCTCCATGCCCACTTCGTGCCTAGGCGTCCAGCGTTCTGGGGCCGCCAGCGAACAAGTGCTACTTTCCTGGCCTTGACCCACCCTTAAAGGCGAACCTCACCCCGCCCTCCGTCCGTGTGGCCCCACCCCACTCCCAAGCCAGACCTCACACCACGCCTTCTCTTGCCCTCAACCCTCCCCAGTCCAGCCCACCCAGCAACGGGTGGGCCCCGCGATTCTTCTCTATCAGGTCTAAGGCCCGACCCCAACGGGAACCCCGCTTGACCGCCCGGCTCCCGCTTCCTGCCTCTCAGCCACATTCCGCCGCCCCTCACCCCATAAGCCTTGGCTGCAACGCATCCCTCCCTCCCTTCAGGGAAAGGAATGTGCCCGGTACCCGCTGCTGGGCTCGGAATCCGCCACTGCCGACACGGCAAGCCCTCAGCCCGAGTCCCGGCCTCGCCGCCGCCACCGCCGGCCGGCCTGGAGCCTCCGCTTCCCTCCCCGCCCCCTCCTTCCCCAGCACTCGGAAGCCCGCCCGCCAAGGCCACAGTTTGCCCAATCAACTAGCCAAGAATGTCGCTGTCACCGGATGTCGTTTTGATTGACAGCAGAAGAAACCCAATAGCTGAGTAATCCTCCTCCTTCCCTGGGCCGTATCTCTAAGACAGACATGGCCCAAAGCCCAATGAGTGCCTAGGCCCGCCTTATGGAGTGGGCCCGCCAATGAGTGGGGCGAAGGCCCAAGTGCCCGACATTCCGGACCCCTCCGTCGCGCTGTCGCGGCGGCCGGTGGTACAGGTTAAGCGCTTCTAGTGCAGTCTGTGTTTGGGGACTGAGGTCCTAGAGCAAGGAATGGGAGTGGGTGTCACCGCATGAGCGCGGAATTCCCTCCTTGAGGGTTTCCACAGTGACTTGCAAAAGTCCAGTGAGACCCTAGGGGGCCGAGGCGGAGCACTGAGCATGTGGTTCTTGTCGTGGCGATGCTTGTGCCGCCATCTTGGGTGCTGGCAACGGAAACCGATATCCTGCCTTCCTCTCTCTGTGGGCCTGGTGTAGTTACCAGGAGGAACGGTGGCACCTCGTGGTACAGACCACAGTCACTTTGCGGGGACAGCCCTGAGGATTGGTTGTCACAACGGTGGCAGGCTGTTGATGGTGTTAGAGATGGACCATAATAGCCATTTTTGTCATCATAGGAACACCACGAAATTACCCCGCCTTCCCCACAGAGCTTAGTCTTGCTTTTTAGGAACGTTCCTTAGTTTCCAGAGTTCTCCCGTCCCACCCAGCCATATTACCGAAACGTATTTGTAACTCTGAAACTTCAGTGTACCCCAGCGTCATGTGGGGAGCTTGATAGACTCAAATTCTGAGGCTTCCGGAGATTTCTGATTAAGTAACCTTGGGGTGGAAACCTGATAACCTGTCCTCTTGAGTAATGCTAATGCAGCTAGTCCGAAGACCACATTTAGGAAATCACTGAGTTGGAATTTGTACTCTGTTGTTCCCAACTGTGGGACAAACAGGTGCCAAGTCAACTTCTTGTCTCCTTGGAAGAGGCCATAATCTAGTGGACAACTCACTGTCCTTCTGCAGTTAAGGACAGGGCCAACTGATAATCTAAATAAATCAACTCCATGCAATGGTGAAGGTTTAAAGTGAGGTGGCTCACAGATTGTACTTCCACTGTATGTAAATATACACCAGCATCCACTCATTGAATATTAAAGAAACGATTGAGCTAGTTTACACTTTAAAAATACTGATTCGAAGACCATGATTTACTTTATTCGTTGTACTATCACTCAATAAATACTAGAATGTAAGCTCCCATAAGGACTAGAATTTTGTACACTAATAACTGAAAGGGGAATCAAGCAGGCAGGCCTGGATTAGAAGTTCCTGCTAAAATTATATTAATAAAAAGACTGGGAGTGTAGCTCAGCAGTATAGCACGTACTTAACACTATCAAAGCCCTGGGTTAAATCCCCATCAGACCTCCCCACCAAAAAAAGATAAAAGACCCAAGCAGAAAGTAACCACGCCTTGAAAGAGGTGTGGTCTTGAAGAATATAATATGTTACTAAGAAAATAGACATTCAGCCATTAAATTAGTAAGAATATGAAAATAAATGCTGCTGTTAGGAAGCCAGGTGTAAAGGCACATGCCTGTATTCCCAACTTCTCAGGAGGATCTCTAGTTAAGGCCAGCCCAGGAAAAGTTAACAAAATCTTATCTTTAAAAATAAAAAAAGTCATGGCTCAAGGCTGTAATCCTCGATACTCAGGAGGTGGAGATCTGGAGAACTAAAGTTCAAAGCCAGCCCTGAGCAAAAAAAGGTAGCAAGACCCCATCTCAACCAATGGCTGGGCATGGTAGTGAACACCTGTCAACCAGCTTTGTGGGGAAGCACAAATAGGAAGATTGTAGTCTAGGCAAGCCTGAGCATAAACTGAGACCCTATCTCAAAAATAACCAGAGCAAAAGGGTTGGCAGAAGTCTCAAATGGCAGAGTGCCTTCCTACCAAGTATGAAGCCCTGAGTTCATCCCCCAGTTGCCCTCCCCTACCGTCAAAAAGGAATGAGGGCATAGTGGAAGTAGCAGAGTCCTTGCCTAGCAATCAGGAGGCCCTGAGTTCAATCCCCAGTATGTAATAATAATAATAATAATAATAATAATAATAATAATAATGGGGGGGCTGGTGGAATGGCTCAAGTGGTAGAGCACCTGCCTAACAAACGTGAGGTCCTGTGTTCAAACCCCAGCACCACCAAAAAAAAAAAATATCCCCAGTATATAATAATAATATTAATAATAATAATGCCATTAGTTAGGAAAAGGGCAGAAGTCTGAGGCAGGAAGATCACTTGAGCCCAGGAGCTCTGTCTGGGCAACATAGCAAGAGACTGGGAAGGAAGTATTTAAAAACCATAGAACTGAAAGATAACAAGGCCCAACTAAAGTTACAACTCAAGACTATGTTGAGAAGATGAAGATGGAAGATAAAGGAAAAATTCTAATATGTCCTAAATTTAATTACAAAGCCTGGACAGAGGAGGGGGAAAAAGAAAAGTTAGTTAACTGCTAAGGGTGAAACCAATAAAAAAAAGCCGGTTTACAGGTTTTACCTTGATTTAAATCCCACAACAGACAACCACCAGGGTCACCTCCCTCACCTTGCTTATGCATGAACATTCCAAACTGTCAACCCAGCCAATCCAGAAGCAATAATTACTTCTCCTTATGAACTGCCCTCCTATCTCAAAGCACCCCCATTTTTATTACTCCACCCCCTTATCTATAGCCAGAGTAAATTACCTCGATTTCCTTCTCCAAAGTTTATAAAAGTATTCTACCAGCCAGGCATGGTGTCTCACACCTATACTCCTAAAAATTACAGAGGTGGAGATCAGGAAAATTGCAGTTTGTGTCCAGTCCAGGCAAAAAGTTCACCAGTCCCCACCTCAACCAATAAAAGCTGGGCTTGGTGGTGGCACACGCCAGCTACAAGGAAGTGTTAATAGGAGGATCACAGTCCAGGCCTGCCCAAGTATAAACTGGAGACCCTACTGGAAAATAAGTAAAGCAAAAAAGAGCTGGGATATAACTCAAGTGGTAGTGTGCCTGCCTAGCAAGTACAAGACCCTGATTTCAAATCCTAGTACCTTCAAAAAAAAAATTCTTAGGTCTGGCAGACTACCTAGCCTTGCTGCTGATAACTTTCAGAAACTTCTCTCAGAACTTGATCCTTTTTCTAGCTACTATCTGTAACAGCTCAATAAACTCTTATTTCAGAGATCCCTTCATGTCAAGAGTTTTCATTTAACAGTACAAGCATACTAATAGAGGCTGTCTTTTTGACACAAACAACACAAAACAATTTTAAGCCCTGATGCAGTTAAAACAAACAAAATCTGGACTTTCCTTTATGGGGAATGAGGAAATCTTAGCACCACTAAAACTGACAAGTCCATTTGTGGTTTACAAGAAGTTGTTGGGTTTTTTTGTTTGTTTGTTTTTTGGCGTTGTTGGGATTCATACCCTGGGCCTCCAAAAGCCTTTTGAGGTGCCTATTAAGGTAGCAGGTGCCTAGAATAAGAAAGTCGCATAGTGGATAAAAGATTAACAAGAAATCAAGTAAGAGAAATATTCACTAAAGTAAAAGCAGCTGTTGGATAGAGAGGCCACAAACAGGAGATAAAAGGATGATTCTATTTATCACTCCGAGAGCTTAAATTCATTCAACTGAATTCTTTTGTTTTTCTGAGACAGAGTCTTGCTATGTAGCCCAAGCTGAACTTGAACTTGTGATTTGTCTCCCTTTGCCTCCTGAGTGGTAGGATTATAGGCATGCACTACCATGCCAACCCACATTTTTTTTGGTGGTACTGGGAGTTGAACTCAGAGCCTCATAATTGCTAAACAGGTGCCCCATTACTTGAGCCATGCTGCCAACCCTTTTTGCTTTGGCTGTTTTTGAGATAGAGTCTTGCTTTATGCCCTGCCTGGCTTGAACTACTATCTTCCTGTTCATGTGTCCCGGCATTGTTGGGATGACAGGTGTACACCACCACACCCAGCCTTTTGTTGGTGAAAATGATGGTCTCAGAACTTTTTGCCAGTAGCTAGACTCAAACCATGATCTCCCAATCTCTGCCTCCCAAGTAGCTAGGATTACAAGCTTGAGTCACTGCACCAAGCATTGCTGTTGTTTTCTTTGAGACAGGGTTTTGCTATATAGCCCAGACTGGCACCAAACTCTGGATGGACCCTCCTGCCTCAGCCTTCTGATTGTTAGGATTACAGGTGTGTACCACCATACCTGTAAATTTTCTTTTGCCTTCCAACTTCACATATAGTATATCAATGTGTATAATAATTATTTGAGTGTAAAATAGGAGAAAGATGGATAATGAGGTGAATTATTGAGTTAAAGAATGACTGGAGTGGGCTGGGGATGCAGCTTAGTGGTACAACATATACATGCTTTGTGTGCTCAGGACTCTTGGTTTGATCCCCAGCATCACAAAAGAAGAAAAAGAAGAAGGAGAAGGAAGGAAGGAAGGGAGGAAGGAAGGAAAAGGAAGGAAGGAAGGAA